CTCTAATCTATGAGTTTCAAGATGCTTTTGATCTTGAGCTGTAGGCTCAATTTAAAATTCTGGCTATGCACAAGTGGTTTTGTGTAATGGTCATCACGTAAAGAAAGAAACCAAAACTTACAACTCCAACATCCTTGTAAACTTCTGCCTCCTGACGTGATTGATCATTAATCTGGGTCAATGGAAGAGAACTTCTTGGTGTTCCTGCAAGAATAATGCTGCTCAGCCCAGGGCATGCACAAACCAAACCCATGGACAGTAACAGCTTTGGGTAGGTCATCCATGGGGATTGCACACTGAAACAGGGACATACAGGACAAATTTGTTCAAAGGCTGCCCTATCTCCTTATGACATGCCTTAGTGACCTTTCTTTCCTTAGCTGAACTTGGCAGAGCTGCTGTACCCATTCAGCTCCTCAATTTAATTCACAAACTTGAGGAATGCCTGCTATAATCCCTATTGCACTAGGTCTGCTCTTAGCTTGCTATTCACATACTTGTAATTAATCCTGCATTAGTGCTGCTCCAGACAATACAACCCATGGGCACGACTGACCTCTATGTCAGCACAGAACACCTATGCCAAGCATCAGTGAGTTAAAAAACAGTTAAAGCTGTTCTTAATCTGCAAAATTGATTGTCTCTGATCTTCATGGCAGAAATACACACAAACAGATTTTGCTGGAGTTCAGTGAATTTGCCTTAAGACCAAAGTCTCTTCTGATATTTGGGCTCCTAAGGCCAGGCAGTGGGAGTGTGCAATGGGGACTGAGCTGAGCCCTGTGCAAGCTCTGTTGGCTGGCCTGATTTCCCAGCACAGGGGGAGCTGGCCGTCCCACCTGGGGCTGCTTCTGGGAAAACCTGGGGCACGCTGAGCTCTGGGCATCAGCCTGTCCAGGGCAAGGTGGGCTGTCCTGACCAGCTCTGCCCACCCTGAACTCCCGGAAAGGTGGGCGAGGAGGCCAGGCTGGAGCAGATCCCGCGTGTTGTCTGAGCTTCCCACTGCCTCTAAGGGCATGAGAGATCTCTAGCCAGCCTCCATCCCATCCCTGTGCCCATCTGAGCACCTCCCTGACCCTTGCTTCTTGACACAGAGCTGGCCGAGCCCGAACCCCTGTTTCATCAGCCAGGTCCCTGTGTGGAGCTGCTTCCCGCCGTTTTTACCTCAGAAACGGGGAGCGCTCAAACGTAGGGCGCTTCATGAGGGGCCCGTGGCTGCGGTGAAGGGACATCCTTCCAGGGGGACCGCAGCCGGGATGAGGGGTGACGCCGGCGACTCGGTCCCGGCCCGGGTCCCGCCGGCCGTGCCGCCCGCCCGCCGCTTACCTGGCAGCGCTCCCCGTGCACCATCCCGACCACCGCCGCCGTGAGCCGCCCGGACAGCCCGGGCCGCTGCACGGCCTGCGGGGAGGGGAGGCGGGCGTCGGCGGGGCCGGGCCGGGCGAGCCATGGAGGCCGCCCCGCCTCCCGCAGCGGGCCGGGACAGGGACCGGGACAGGGACCGGGACAGGATCCTCGGCTCGGTTCGGCCCGGCCCGGCGCGGTCCCACGTGCCTGCGCCGCTCCCGCCGCTTCCGCGCCAGGGCCCCGCCCCCGGCCCCGCCCCGGCCCCGCCCCGGCCCCGCCCCGGCCCCGCCCCGGCCCCGCCCCCGGCCCGCCGCGCGCGGGATCCGCCGGCCCCGCCCCGGCCCCGCCCCTGCCGCGCGCGGGACCCCGCGCGTCTCCCGCGCCCCGCCGGCCCCGCCCCGGCCCGGCGGGGCCACGTGCGCGGCCGGGAGGCGGCCCCGCGCCGCCGCCGCGCGTTTAAATGTCCCGCCGGGCGCGGCCCGCGCCGTGCGCACGGACGGGAGCGGCCGCGCCGTGAGGCAGCAGCGCCCGGCGGAACCCGCCCTGCCCCACCGGCCCGGCACCCGCCGACCGCCCGCTCCCGGGCGGCAAGGGCCGGCGCGGCGGTGAGTGAGCGGCAGCGCGGGCGGGCGGGGGGCGGTGGGCCGCCGCGGGGCGGGGGGAGCCGGTGGGGCCGGTCCGGCCGCCCGTTGCGCGCCTCTGCCGGCCTTTGTGGGGGGGCTGCGGCCCGCTCGGCCCCGTTCGGCGCGGCGCTGCGGCCGGCCCGGGCGGGTGCCATGCGCCGGGAGAGGTGAGTGCCCGGGCCGCCCTGCGCGGGGCCCTGCAGGCCGGGCACCCCGAGCCGCCCGCGGCCGCCGCTCGCTCAGCTTCCCCTCTCTCCGCAGCGACTGCGCGCACGACAAGGCTCCTGCCGACGCGGGCACGGAGTCCGCCATGCGAGCCCGCAAGAGGAAAGCCGATGTGGCCACGGTGAGTGCGGGCCCGGCCCCGCGCCCTCGGCGCCTTTTGTTGGGTGCGGGCCCCACGCGGTGGGCCGGGCCGGGCCGGGTGGGCCGCGGGGCTGTGCTCCTGCGGGACCCGGCCTGTGTCACAGCTGCCAACAGCTGCTTGTCCCGCCGCCTGTGCTCCGGAAATCATGTGTCGCTTCTTGTAGTTCTTACAGGATCCTGATGAAGAAATTGCCAAAATGGAGATGACTAGAAAAAAGCCGTGTGAAAAACAGGTAATTGAATTTGCTTTATATGTAAATATTGTAGTCTTGCTTAACCCTGCACTTACTTTGCAGTACCTCATTTTTTATGGCAGTGTGGTGAAACAGGTCTGCTTCTGCTACATGCTGCATAGCAGTTGAGGGACTGTTGGCCCTGGTTGATGATGGAGTGTGCAGAACAACACAGTTCATATTTCAATACAGTTTTAAAGCCTTTGTAAGATATAAGGCCTGTCTTGGTCTGAGGCATCATGTTAATGCTGAAGTGTATTCAGCTGTCCTGGGATTGCAAAGGTGCACCTGTCAAGCCTTTGGACTTATTCTGCATGAGGTGCAAAAGTACAGTCATGTGCTTATGCACCTTGTACCTGTGCTCCTTAAGCAAGCAGACAGAATCATCTCTTGAAGTGGTTCTCTTTGCAGCCGTGTCTCTACTTCTTTGTCATCTGGGAAAGAGGAAAGTGTCCCCTTTTTCCTGTTGACAAGGGTAATTATTAGACAGGCTAAGTAAGGAGTTCTTGGTTAGAACCTGGAAGTGTGTACTAGATACTCATGGTATAGTAAAACAGGCTTTGTTTCTCTGCAGAGCAAAGGAATATTGCTATAAAGTTGCTCTACCTGTGAAAATTAGTCCTGCGGTGGAGGTTGATAGTGACCATTGCCAACTTTCTCAGCAAGACATGTAGAATGAATCAACTTAAAAAGTCAAAACTCACTTTACTGGTGTCCTCTAGTTCCATTTGTGTGCTTTCCATAGTCTTGAAAGAGCAGATGCTTTTGGGATCTCTGTTGGATGCTGTGTGATGTTGAAAGCATGATGCTTTTGTACCTTGAGTAGCCTGTGTCCTGGAATAGGTTCATTCCCCTCCTTTTTCCCCTGAACACGTGCACTCCTGCTCAGTCACTGTCACTCCAGCCTGTCACTGCACACACAGGGTGATGGTGAAGTCGCGGAAGTTGTGCTCAGGGTGTGCTGCCTGTCCTCATTTGGTAGGTGAGGCAATGCAGAATGTGGCTCATCTAACCCAAAGTGGCAGCTGGAAGTTCTAAGACTGAAGTGCTTCCATAACAGATGGGCATCATTGTTTGGAATGGCCTCTGCTTGTTGCAACTGCGTACACTAGTTATCAGTCAACATATTAAGCAGGGCTCAAATGGTGAGCATTTAATGAGGGGATCTCTCCTTCCCTTCTGTCTTTCTTTTGCACAGTATATTAAACTAATTTCTCACTTCTGACAAGGAAGAGCTGCCTGTCCTTCACTGCAACTTTCTCCTTCACCAGAAGATTCATTCTGTTTAAACTGAGCAAGGCCTTCTCGTGCATGTTTATTGCATAATAATAAGGTATTTCTTAGAAAATCTCAATGAGGACCCAATTTTACTGTCTTCCAGAAAGACAGTGGAAGGAAACTTGAAGTATCTTTTGCATATGTTGACCTTCAATTTTCAAAGCAGATAAAGACTTCCAGTTTTGTCTCCTTGTTTATACTCTTGGCTTGATAGCCATTTAGTGTTACTTCAGTATGGATAGGTAAACTAAAACTTAGATAATATAGGTAGTACACATCAAAAATATTTTCTTGGGAATTTTTCAAGGTAATTATAGTATGCTGGTAGAATTTGACCCTTTCATTCTATAAACAATAAATAATATCATGCCTATATCTTTCCCTACAGAGATCAGGTATTTTTGTTGTGACAAAGTAGCCAGATTGTTCCAGATCTGGTTAAAAAAGCTAACATTTGGCTGCACAGCGGCAGCTCTTCAGTCTGTGGTGTGACACAAGCTATTCTCTGATATAAATTGCCATGGACCACTAATGAGAATATGTTTACGGTTCCAGCAGCAGTATAGCAGGCTGGAATGATAGCCAGGGCGACAGTTATTCTGTGGAGACACGACAGTTCTAAAATGCAAGCAGCTATAAATCCACTGCAGCCTATACCACATGACTTCTGCATTAAATAAATTGTTTACTGACACTAGCTTATCCACAAGGCAAAATATCAGAGTCACATCCCACTTTATGACATCTTCATAGTCAATTCATTAGTTTGCTTCTGTGGAACATAAGGCCTCAGTTCTTAATTAGGATGCCGTTACCCTTTATGTGATGAAAGGGTGGCTATATCATCAGGTCTGTGACAGCAGAATATTGTATAAATTCTGTGTTTGATTTTGGAGAACTGGCACTGCTGTAATTCTGCTAGCAATTCTCATACTAATTCTGGCTGCTTTGTGGGGATGAATACACTTGTGAGGCTCCATGTAAAACAAAATTCATCTAACTAGATTAGAATAATCTGTGTAATTGTGATACAAGTTGCATGATCACCTCCATATAAAGTGAAAAATTGAATCTATAAGTTAGTTCCTTTAGATGAAACTAGCTAATGCTTTCACATGTGAACGTGGAGTAAACTCTCATGAAGGAGTTTTGATCAGTTTCTCACTAGATGTTTTTCAGAATCTGATGTTAGCATTGTCAGAGTGTTTCACCTAAGTGTTTTGAAAGTAGCCTCAGAAAGTTTATTTTGCTAATGTAGATTAACTTTTGAAGATTCAATTAAAAAACCAAACAAAACAAAGCCCACAAAAAAGGAGTCTAAACTATATACATGTTGAGAACTGACTTGGCTTAATCTGGTTCAGGACATTTTAAACGAGTAGACACTCATAAACTATCCCAATAGGATTGGACCCACTTAATAGTGTGAGCTGCTATTTTCTACCCTGTTTGCTAAATCTGGAATTCCTTTCTGATGCAAAGAAAAATTACTTCAAAGCAATGCAGTTTATGAGTGAAAAATGGCTAGAATTATAGGTCTTGCTATTTCTGATGGGCAAACTAAGGCTGTGGACTTGGAAGTGATACCATTGTCTATGGTATAAGGTGCTGCTTTTAGGGTGACAACAGGCCTGTTCCCCTGCCATTGATTTCCATGCTGAGAAACCTCTGATGTTGCTGTTTGAATGTAGTTCTGTCATTCTTTTCCTTCTGCTGCACTCCTTGCTTGTCAGTAGAAGCTCATTCTGGTGACTCCTAACTCACATTGAGGTGCCCAAGTGTTTCAGCAGTTTGTATTTTTAGGTGTTTCTTCTTCACTGAAGACCCTGCCTGGCCTTTAACCAGTAACCCCAGTGGTTGACCTGCTGTTTTGTGTCTGATCTATATCCTGAAGGTTGTTCAAAAATATTGTTTTCTATGAATATTTGATGTATCAGTGAATGGTGACATGCTGCAGGAAACTGAGATCTGCTAATGTTTGAGCTTTAAAAAGACTCCCACTTCTGAACTTCTCAGTTTTCTCTGTTTGGAACTGTATGGGATTGGATGCTCTAATGGTCTTATAACCCACCTTCTTCCTCTTGGTACCTCTCCTCCTAATGAGCCTTCTGAGGTGCTTTTTTCCTCCAGTCTGTCTCTTACTCTTAGGTCTGAGATTGAGATCAGCATCTGATTAATTGCTTCTGTACCTGGAACATTTCTGTGGTGTCACCAAGCTTTCTTGCTGAGCTCCATACAGATTTGAAGAGGCCATTCTCCCCACTGCTGTGTTTGCTTCTGTTCTACTGCAGCTCGTGTTTGTCTCAGAAGTAAGCCCAGGACTGTAGTGTTTCCTCTGCTAGACTGCACAGATTCTGGGTAATAGCTGTTGCTTTCTGACAGGTCTTCACTTTTGGATTGGCTCTGTGCAAGCCCAAAGGAAGTTCTTAATGGTTTCTTTATACCCTCCCCATCTTAAACTGTTCCTTTTTTCAGTGGTGGCTCCTATTTCCTTACAATTGCAGTGTGGGGTAATGCAATTTCTTGATAGTGTTTCTTGCTTTCAATTGAGTGTCTTGCTAAATCTGTTTTAAAGATTCAAGAGCCTGATTGATATGTTCATTCTCTCAACCAAAATCTGTGCCAGAGTTATGGTGCTCCCTTACCCCCACTAATTAATTCCTGTCTCCTTCCCCATAGGCTGCT